CGCAAGTGCGCGTGCATTGCTCTGGAAGCTGCTGCAGCTGTCTGCTGCTGCTGCTGCAGCAGCAGCTTCCGTCGCCTGCTGCTGGCAGCCGTGCGGCTAGAGCAACAACCCCGCCACAAGCTGCTGCTGCCGCTGCTGCTGCTGCTGCTGCTGCTGCTGCATGCGCCGCAGCAGCAGACAAGCAGCAAGGAAGCAGCTGCTGCGGCTGCGAATTGCTGCGGGGGACGATGATGGGCGAAGGAGCAGCAGCACAGCAAGTCAGGTGGTTGTTAAACCCCACCAGCTGCTGGTGCTGCTGCTGCTGCTGCTGCTGCTGCTGCTGCTGCTGCTCGCTGCCACTGCTACAGCAAAAAATTGAGTTCTTATGAGTCGACAAAGGCGGAAATAAGAGAAGACAGAAGCAAACCAGCGCAACAGCCCAAAGGTGCCCTCGCTGGGGGCCAGCAGCAGCAGCAGCAGCAGCAGCAGCAGCAGCAGCAGCAGCAGCAGCAGCAGCAGCCAAATTCAGTGATCTGTCTTGTCTGCTGCTTGTCGAGCCTCACAACTCGGTTTGCTGCGGCTCATTTGGTTTTATTTATCTTTTATTTTCCTTTTTTGTTTTATTTGAAGAGCTGCTGCTGCTCTGTGCATGCGCGGCCTCGCGGGGAGCTGGGGTGTATGTACACCTCAGCAACTTCGCCTTTCTGCTCACCCCCGCCAGTCCGCCGGCAAAAAGCCTTTTAAAAGATTAAAAATAAATAAAAATAAATAAATTTACTTTTTAATTTAATATTTCAAACAAAGTTTGCATTAATTACCGAAAACTGGCCAGTTTTACCCGCAGTCGCGCCTGCTGCTGCTGCTGCTGCTGCTGCTGCTGCTGCCAAAGCTGCCAGCAGCAATCCGCCGCCTTTAAACAAACAAACAAATAAATAAATAAATAAATAAATAAATAAATAAATAAATAAATAATAATAAATAAATAAATAAGTTTGTTTCTTTTATTTGAACAGCGCGAACTGGGGCACAGCAAAAGTCTTTTTTTGTTCAACTAAAAGGTCTTCTTTCTTTTTTTTCGGGAAAAATTTCATTTCTTTTCGAATTTCGAATTGAATTTTATTTTGAATTTGATTTGTTTTAATTGCTTTTCCTTTTAGACTTGCAATTGGGTCTTTTTTTGGCTTTTTTGAATTCCGTTTTTCTTTGAATTTGCTCCAAAACTCCGCATTTTTGCACAAATTTGTTACCTTTTAATGGCATTTTACTTCAAATATCTTTGCATGCATTTATTTATTTAAATAATTTAAAATGATTTTTAAAATTTCTCTTTTGGGTCTTCGGGCCGAGACGGGGGAGTTTCAGGTGTACGTACACCCGAACTGCGCACCAGATACACCTGAATCTGCACTTTTCGGAAATCATTTTCTTTTTGGAGTTTTTCATCTAAATGGAATTAAAAGTACATTTAAACCCTTTTTAAATTAATTAAATCTATTTTTTCTTTTTATTTTTCTTTTTTAAAATCCAAAAATGCATTTTAGTGGCGAAGAACTTCCTGGTGACTCGTGCTGCTGTTTAGGTGTACGTACACCTCGGAACAGTGCAGCAAAATGTTCTTTTCTGTTTTTAATTTTAAAATTAAAATACTTTTTAATCATATTTGCCTTTTGCGGCTTTTTAAAACTGCGCACCAGATACACCTGAATCTGCACTTTTCGGAAATCATTTTCTTTTTGGAGTTTTTCATCTAAATGGAATTAAAAGTACATTTAAACCCTTTTTAAATTAATTAAATCTATTTTTTCTTTTTATTTTTCTTTTTTAAAATCCAAAAATGCATTTTAGTGGCGAAGAACTTCCTGGTGACTCGTGCTGCTGTTTAGGTGTACGTACACCTCGGAACAGTGCAGCAAAATGTTCTTTTCTGTTTTTAATTTTAAAATTAAAATACTTTTTAATCATATTTGCCTTTTGCGGCTTTTTAATGTATATTTACTGCAGGTTTAAGAAAATGGAAAATAGATATCTTCAGCTGAGTGCAACAGCAGCAGCAGCAGAAGCAGCAGCAGCAGCAGCAGCAGCAGCGGCGGCGGCGGTGATTTGCATACTGCTGCTGCTGCTGCTGCAGCAGTGTTTCACCTCCTGCAGTGGCAACAGCAGCAGCAGCAGTGTTGCTCTTGCTGCTGCTGCAGCAGCAGCAGCGGCGTTTTAGCTGCTGCTGCTGCTGCTTCGCTAGTGTTTTATTTATAATTATGCGCAGATATAAAACTAATAAAAATAAAAAATAAAAAACTTTTGCATGCATTTTTCTTCATAAACTAAAAAAAACATTTCCTGCAACATCTAAAAACAAAAAGATTTCTTTTTCTGCTTTTCGCCCCACACTTCGGGTGTACGTACACCCCAGACGCAGCCACAGTCCTGCTGCTGTTGCTGCTGCTGGCGCTGCTGCTGCTGCTGCTGCTGGAGTTGCTGCTGCTGCTTGCGCTGCAGCTGCTGCTCTTGTTGCTGCTGCTAGTTC